CTCCATTTGAGATCATTGCACTTGACATTCTCGAGCCCAGGCAACACATTCTTGGCTTGGCGGGTCTGGCTCATTCTGGAATGGAGGCCGAACACTTTCGTGGGTAGCATAAAAAAGGAGCGAGAGAAAATCAAGTAAAAATCGACGCTTGGCAGCGATCTAGATTAGTTGTTGTCAATAGACGTTAAGACTACGTTTTCTTGAATGAGGGGCAGACGGACCTCGTTTATTATGCTCCCGACGGCTAACATTTAGTTTATTCACTCGTAGTTTACGCACAAATCCCACTGCTCCTCTTCTTCCTCTTCATTTAATGAGGCTCTTACAACTATACGAATGCTATAAGATATTGCAAAATATAAACAATTTCTCCATGTAGATATGAAGACCACGATAGTGTGTCCTTTTGTTCGGTTGCAGTCTCTTTTAGCTTTAAAGTGCTGGTTCGACTTTGCTTTCGCAACTTGGTCGCAACGTCTAAGAGTAAATAAAAATAGTCATCATACCAATGTAGTGTTTTAGCCATATATCTTTTGGTATACACAGTAAAGGAATAAAAAATAGTAGTGCATTAAAATCAACTTAAAAGTAGTCAAAAAGTAGTATCTATCCGAGTGTGCCATTCTCAGTATGTCATCAAATCCATATAAAGGCGCCTGATTTGCCTCACTGTTTATCAGCTTTCAAATAAAATTTAATTATAATGCACAAAACATCTTTGATTTGCTTCTCTAGGAGGTGAAAGAGGTCGAGTTGCTGAGAGTTGAACGGGAAAACACTGGACCCTATGGGGAGTTCAACTTTTGGAAGTGCCGCATGGTGCACATGAACTCACTCGTTCTTGGTCTAAAGCGTCCTGACATTCAGACGTTGATTTCGGCTCTCAAGAATTCACGCTCTCACGTCTATACGGTGAGCTTATGCTTGTATACACGATACCGACACCTTGTTCGTTTTTTATTCGTTTTCAAGTAAATTTCAGGACTATCAGTAAATCTTCAATATGAACTGTATACGGTGATGCATGACTGTTGGTCGAATTTTCACACAATACCTCATGATTATATTAAATATCACACAGCCTTGCTTCCCAAAAGCTACTCTCATTCAGCCAGAAATGCACAGAAGTTTCGGTTTCGTCTAATCTGCTCTCACCAGCACTGCAGCGGGACTCGAACTCGGGCTGTGGTATTACAGCGTATAGTCTCGACACGTTGGCCAATATGCCAGACTGACATGAGTGCTCTCTGCTCATAGGACAGACACGAATTCAAAGGAGGCCTAGGCCTTTTATATATCACTTTCTGTGATGGGAATGTCGATGAAGCATAGTTGTATTTTTCATTTTATATGCAGGACTTCGAGACCACGAACAGATTGCATATATGAGATATGGTGAGCAAATTTCAGATAAGATGATAAGGGGATTGGTAGTTGAATTTTCCCATAAACTAATGAATTGTAATCCCGATTTGATTAAATTTCCAATCCTTTATCACTTTAAATAAAATAGTCTGTATACATTTGTTACTCAAGGTCTACTCATAGTCTCAAAATCAACTTGTAAACAAAAATATGTGATGCAGCCGATTGTAATAGCAAATGTATGAGATGTATGAAATGTATTTACCATATTTTGTTCAAGGCGATAAGGAGATAGGATAAGCAAACCTTATGTTTCCATTAAATTTCACAGCCTTGCTTTCACAAAAGGTATTCCCAATTTCGACCTCGCTTAAATGGTCTCATCAGCACCCCCAACGGGACTCGAACCATGAAACTGTAGCGTATAATCTTGGAAGGTTTGTCACTCCACCACACACTGTCACCAGTACCGTCAGGTCACAGGGCAGATGTGAATTTCAAGGAGGGCCAGACATTTTCGTACATTACAATCGGTCAAGCAAAGTTGTATTTGCCAGAGAAATCGACTACATTACTTACTTTTACTTTATAAATGGGCTTTTAACACTTTCACTAGATTTTATATGAGGCAGTATTCACCCTATTTTTTGGGGGGTGACAAGGGGACTGATAGTTGAATTACCCCAAAAGGATAAACGTAGACATTACTTTACCATTAAGTTTCACATAACACCTAACTTCACCCAACACTTCTACTCGAAATGGAAGTAATCCCAACAACTGTGAAACAAGAGATTCCTCGAAACCCAACTTTTCTTCATATATATAACTTACAACTCCCAGCCCCTTTGGCATCTGAGATGAAATAGAATGATCACATCTCATACATCTAATACAATCGACTATATCATCTATTTTTGTTTACGAGTTCACTTCAAGATTAACATTAGATCTTGAATGATAATTGCATACAGTCTATTCCATTTAAAATGATGAAGGACTG